GAGCGCGGGCGGAGCGGGGGGGTGCTCCCCTGCTCCCCTGCTCCCCTCCGCGTCGGTGGCGCTCCTGGGGCCCAATGTAGGAATCGTGACCTGGGTTTTTGCCTGTGGCGCTCCTGGGGCCCAAAGAAGGAATCGTGACCTGTTTTTTTGCCTGTGGCGCTTTTTTTTTGCCTTGCGCGCCGGGCCCCCGGACCCTGCCGGACTGCGCGCGCGAGGCGGGGAGGTGCTCCCCTGCTCCCCTGCTCCCCTCCGCGTCGGTGGCGCTCCTGGGGCCCAAAGAAGGAATCGTGACCTGGGTTTTTGCCTGTGGCGCTCCTGGGGCCCAAAGAAGGAATCGTGACCTGTTTTTTTGCCTGTGGCGCCTTTTTGCCTTGCGCGTCGGGCCCCCGGACCCTGCCGGAGAGCGCGCGCGGGGCGGGGAGGTGCTCCCCTGCTCCCCTGCTCCCCTCCGCGTCGGTGGCGCTCCTGGAGCCCAAAGAAGGAATCGTGACCTGGGTTTTTGCCTGTGGCGCTCCTGGGGCCCAACGAAGGAATCGTGACCTGTTTTTTTGCCTGTGGCGTTTTTTTTTTGCCTTGCGCGTCGGGCCCCCGGACCCTGCCGGAGAGCGCGCGCGAGGCGGGGGGGGTGCTCCCCTGCTCCCCTGCTCCCCTCCGCGTCGGCGACGCTCCACAGGCAAAAACGATGTTGTTTGCCTGTGGTGTTTTTTTTTTTGCCTTGCGTGTTTTTTTGCCTTGCGCGTAATCTCTGCGCCGTAGCGCCGCCGCGCACGTTCGTTTATTTAATGTGCAAAGAGTTTCACGGATTGTGGGCGGGCCGTTTTCAAAATGTGGCTCTCGCCTTAGCGCCGCTCACATTTGTGTGAAAAATGCAAAGGGTTTCGCTGACTGGATGCGAGTGGATTTCAAAACGTGGCTCTCGCCTTAGCGCCGCGCACATTCGTGTTACAAAATTGCAAAAGATTCACGGATTGAAGGCGGCTGGTTTTCAAGACGGGGCTCTCGCCTTAGCGCCGCGCACACTCGCTATTAAAATCTGCAAGAGTCTCACGGATTGAACGCGGTTCCTTTTCAAAATGTGGTTCTCGCCTTCGCGCCGCGCATCCTTTTCCCTATTATATGAGAGAGCGTGATCCACCGCCGCTTTACTGTGGAAAATTGCCGCCCTTTTCCTCCGGAACCCGGGGGTCCCCCCCCCCTCCGAAAATCCCCCCCCCTGCTGGACCCCCCCCCCCTTCCCCGGGCAAAACCCCCCCCCCTCCCCTAACCCCCCACCCCTCGAACTCGAAAACCGGGGGGGGTCACACGTTCAACCCCCCCCCCCCTCGAAAACCGGAGGGGGGGGTCACTACCGGTTCGAACCACTGAGCTGTCCCACTATTCCCACCACTGTCCCCACTGTCCCCACTAGTCCCCACTGCACCTCTGTCCCATTGTCCCACCGCCGTCCTCGCCACCGCCTTCACCACTGTCCCCACCACCACTGTACCCTCCACTGTCCTACTGTTTCCACCACATTCCCACTGTCCCCACACCACTGTCCCCACCACCACCGTCCCCGCCACTGTCCCACTGTCCCCACTGTTCCCACCATTGTCCTCACCATTGTCCCCACCACTACCGTCCCCACCACTGTCCCACTGTCCCCACGTCTGTCCCGCTGTCCCCTCACCACTGTCCCCACCACCACCGTCCCCACCACTGTCCGCCCCCCCCCCTCGGTTTTCGAGAAGGGGGGGGGAGGTTCGAACCGGTAGTGACCCCCCCCGGTTTTCGAGTTCGAGGGGGGGGGGGTTCGAACCGGTAGTGACCCCCCACCCCTTTTCATGATGAGCTGGGGGGGGGGGGGAGGGGTTCGAACCGGTAGTGACCCCCCCCCGGTTTTCCGGAGGGGGGGGGGGGAGGGGTTCGAACCGGTAGACCCCCCCCCGGTTTTCCGCCAGCAGCGGTAGAACACGCTCATTATATATGTACATATATATATATATATATATACAAGACTGCAGTGGCGCTTCGCGCCATGCACCTTGGTCCTTGAAGTTTGGTACGCAGGCGGAATAGCAGGAAGGTCAAGCCGACAATTGAACGATACCTCCTGGTTGCCTTTTCTGGCATCGCCGCTATAATCATGTTTTTCGTTCTCCTTCCTCCATGCTTATTTTTCCTTATTTTCACAATGCCCTGCGCATTCTCCCCATCCTCCTCAGCTCTTTTTTGCGGAGGCTCTTCCTTGGAGAGCCTCTAGGGGCCTCAAAAAAGTTGCTTCAGGCTTTCTTACGGCCTTCTGGAGACCTCCTGGGCGTATTCTGGGGGCCTCGGGGGGCTTCCTCGGGCCACCCTGCCTCCAACCGCGGTCTCCCTGAACGACCGAATCACGATTTGGAATTCTTCGGAGGGTGTCTTTGGGCCATCTTGGGCCGCCATGGGGCTCTCTGAGGGCCACCTTGGACCCGTGTTGTGCCGTTTTGGGGCTCTCTTGGACTGCCTGGAAGCCTTTTCGGAATGTCGTGGGGCGATTTGGGAGCCTCCCAGGCGGTTTCGGACGCCCAGAATACCGCCGTCCTGGAGCGTCGGGAAGCCGAAAAGAGGAGAACCCTAAACTTCACAAAAAAACAATGGAGTGCCTTCTTGGGGGTGCTCTTGGGGGCCTCGTTGGGGCCGTCCTGGAGGCCTCTTGGACCATCTTGAGGTCACGTCGGTCACTCTTGGAGCGCTCTTGTGCTGTCCCGGGGGTCTCTGGGACGTCTCCGATGACCCCCCTGATCGCCCTAGGTGTGCTGGGAAGGCTTGGCAGAACGCCATGTGAGGCCCGGTGGCCGCTTCGAGGCTCGTCTGGAGGGTCCCAAAGCCCCAGATCCCGGGAGTCCGGTTTTGGGGGGGGGACGGGTTTCCCCCCGCCCGGGCTTGTAAAAATATAGGAAGAGGAATATGCAAGAGCTTCACGGATTGAGGGCGGTTCCTTTTCAAAATGTGGCTCTCGCCTTAGCGTCACGCACTTTCTTATAAGCTTAGCAAGAGTTTCACGGATTCCCATGATCAGCGTGCCAGAAATGGTGTATTGGAAGGATTCAGGATTACGCGGGCGCAGCAAGTATGTTGATTCGCTGTGTTGAAATCCCAAACATGGCGTTCTGGCACGGTTCTGGATCGTCAAGACGCAGCAGTCAGGTTGATACCTGGCGTGAAAATCCAGAGAACAATGTTTGGGCACGCTTCTAGATCTTGAAACTGTTGACTTCCAACGAGGCACTTCCCTCAATGGAGCTGAACCTTTGTAGGGGCCTATGAAGAGGGACTTTGGAGGGATGGATAATTCCAACATCGTTGATGACTCTTGGGTTTCCTCTGGTCCTCCTCCTCCTCCTCCTCCTCTTCCTCCTCCTGCTCCTCATCCTAGGTGGCTCTAGCGCCGCGGCCGTGTGCGTTTCCCTCGCACGGCCCGACTTTCGCTCAGCCTCCAGTCGCCAGGCGTCATCCTGCTGGGCCCTGGCGCACTCCTCATGAAGGGCGCTTGCGCCGCCCCGCCTCGCGAGGTGTGCGCGACCTCGCCCTCAGCCCGCAGGCGGCGGCGGGCTGCGATTGCCGCGGTCCGACATGCGCAGCGGGCGGCCTGCGCGCTCACCGCAACGCTCGGGACGTTGCCTTGCGTGCGGACGGTGCAGCCGCCCATCGAGCGCATCGCCCACCTGTCGGCGGCGGATGGCGCGCAGTTGGCTGGCCGGGACATCTTGGACTGCTCTGGCGACGCGTCCGTGGCTCACACGGCCCCTCACTCATTCCACATCACTCGGGCAGCCGCTGGGGGAGTTCTTCGCGGAGCCGCCAGTGCAGCGTCTCGTTGGCAGCATGTTCTTCGCCCTGTTCCTGGGCCTCGCGGGCGCATGTTTCTGAGAGTCTCTGCTGCTCGTCCTGGTGCTTCGTTTCGTCGTGTTCCTGGGCCTTGCGATCCTTGCAGTCGCACCGGTGTCTTTCTTCGCCCTGTACCTGGACCACGCGGGCGCGTGTTCAAGGGCCTTTCTGCTGCTGGTCCAAACGCTCATCCTTGCCGCGCTGCTCGGGGCCTCCGTGGTGATGCGGACGCCGTCTCGCCACGTGGTGGAGCTGGTCCTGCGTATCGGAGGCTTCGCGGTCCGTGTCGCGGGGGTGATGAAACGCTTCCTCGCCCTGTGCCTGGGCCTCGTTGGCGCGTGTTCAAGGGCGTTCTTGCAGCTGGTGCGGCTCCTCGACCAGGTCGTGGCGATCTTCCTGGTCCTGCTGGCGTTCAAGGGTGCCGGATCTACTTCCTTGTCCTGCGGATCTTCCTGGTCGTGCTGAATTCCTCGGAGGACTGGCAGATCTTCCTGGAGGCGCGGTTCTTCGGCCATTTTGTGGCGAACTACCTGGTCCTTCGGATCTTCCTGGTCTTCCTGGTCGTGAGGCGCTTCCCGTTCCTGCGGATCTTTTCGGAGGCCCTGCTACTCTTCCTGGTTGTGCGGATCTTCGACCGGTTCGTGGCGATCTTCCTGGTCCTGCGTTGCTTTCTTGTGGTTCGGATCATCTTGACGTTCATGGGTGTGCTGATATCCTTCCTTGTCCTGCGGATCTTCGTGGTCGTGCTGATCCTTTCGGAGGCCCGGCGGGTCTTCTTGGAGGTGCGGTTCTCCGACCCCTTCGTGGCGATCTACCTGGTTGTGTGGATCTTCATGGTCGTACGGATTCTCTTGAGAGCCCTGCACCTCCTCCTGTCTTCAAGCCCGACCGTGGCGTGGGGGTTGGCAGCAGCATCTCGGCCGCAGCCTCCTCGCCCTTCGATTTCTCTGCCCTGGAGGCGGCGTGGGCGGCGGCTGCGAACGAGCTCATCGGGATCTTTGCACACTCTTCTGATGAGGGCGGGATGGCCATAGTCTCTGATATGCTGCTGGCAGATATAGCCTAGACGAATTGTTGTGCCCGTCCTCTCACGATCGACAAGGTCAGCCCAATGCGGCTTGCCTGCATCTTCAGCCCCAGCAGCCAGGGAGTGGCTCCGGTGGACCCCCCTCGCACGGAGGGGGGCACAGCCTGGCGGATAGCACGCGCTGTGCTGTCCCAGGTGATGCCGCAGACCTGGTTCGGGGCATTTCTCGAGGGGGTGGCTTCGGTGGGCTTCCCGCGGCTTGCGGGAGGCACGGCCTGGCGGATAGCACGAGCTGTGCGGTCCCAGGTGACGCCACACACCTCCCCTCCCAGGGAGTGGGTTCGGTGGACCCCCCTCGCTTTGAGAGGGAGGATGCTGCATAGCGCTGTCCCAGGTGATGCCGCAAACCTGTCTGGAGCTCTGGGCTGACGCCTTCCGTGCGCCAGCCCGGTTATTTCCCGGCGGAGCCGGGTGAAATTCCGTGCCCGCCGGCTGACTGATGACTGACTGACTGAACGTCAAGGGACAGCTCGGGAGACACATTTCAAAGCGCCCGCGGGAGCGCAACCTGGCGGCGGCAACCGCAACCCAACCGGGCGACACATTTCAAAGCGCCCACGGGAGCGCACAACCGCAACCGCAACCGCAACCGTGCGACACACTTCAAAACGCCCGCGGGCGCGCAACCGCAACCGCAACCGGGCGACACATTTCAAAGCGCCCGCGGGAGCGCGCAACCGCAACCGCAACCGGGCGACACATTTCAAAGCGCCCGCGGGCGCGCGCAACCGCAACCGCAACCGGGCTCCTCCGCGTCGCATTTCAGGCGGCCCGCTGGGTGAGCGCGCCGGGAGCGCGCAACAGCAAACGCTACTGCAACCGGGCGCGACACATTTCAAAGCCCCGCGGGGCGGCGGCTGCAACCGAAACCGGGGCGACTACACAACGAATGCCCCACGGCGCGCTAACCGCAACCGCAACGGGCGGACACATTTCAAAACGCCCGCGGGGAGCGCGCGGGTGCAACCGCCAACCGCAACCGCGCGCACATTTCAAAGCGCCCGCGGGCGCGCAACCCCAACCGCAACCGGGCGACGCATTTCAAAGCGCCCGCGGGAGCGCGCAACCGCAACCGCAACCCGGCGACACATTTCAAAGCGCCCGCGGGAGCGCGCAACCGCAACCGCAACCGCAACCGGGCGACACATGTCAAAGCGCCCGCGGGAGCGCGCAACCGCAGCCGCAACCGCAACCGGGCGACACATTTCAAAGCGCCCGCGGGCTCGCAACCGCAACCGCAACCCGGCGACAGATTTCAAAGCGACCGCGGGAGCGCGCAACCGCAACCGCAACCCGGCGGAAACATTTCAAAGCGCCCCGCGGGCGCGCACCGCACCGCAACCGGGCGACCATTTCAAAGCCGCCCGAGGGCGCGCAAACCGCAAACCGCAACGGCAACGGCGGACACATTTCAAAGCGACCGCGGGAGCGCGCAACCGCAAACGCTAACCCGCAACCGGGGGAAGGCGACACATTTCAAAGCGACCGCGGGCGCGCAACCGAAACGGCAACCGGCGAGGGCCGACACATTTTCAAAGGCCGCGGGGGAGCTTCAACCGCCAACCGCAACGAAACCGGGCGTACACCATTTCCAATGCGACCCGCGGGCGCGCAAACCGCAACCGCAACCGGGCGACACATTTCCAAAGCGCCCGCGGCGCGCGCAACCGCTACCGCAATCCGCAAACGGGCGACACATTTCAAAGCGCCCGCGGGCGTAACCGCAACCGCGACCGGGCGACAAATTTCAACCCGCCCGCGGGAGCGCGCAATTGCAACCGCAACCGCAACCGGGCGACACATTTCAAAGCGCCCGCGGGCGCAACCGCAACCGCAAGCGGGCGACACATTTCACCCCGCCCGCGGGAGGAGGGCGCAACCGCAACCGCAACCGCAACCGGGCGACACATTTCAACCCGCCCGCGGGAGGGCGCAACCGCAACCGCAACCGGGCGACACATTTCAAAGCGCCCGCGGGAGGGCGCACCCGCAGGGCTTCAAGGGGGTCGATTGCGCGTGCACTTGTGC